TGCCCGGTCAAAAAATGTCACCACCTGGATTTAACTAGGCAAATAGGCAAGATCCTTCCATTGGATATTGACTGCAGTGATTAATATGATTCAACTGACAAGTTATTTCACCATAGCTGATGTAGTGAGTAACCTCTCATTTCTTAAGCATCCATGTCAGAAGACACATCCTGTGGTCGTAGAAAAGATGTTACCCTGTTTCAGAAGGGTCAAATTATTGGCCTGCATCAAGCAAAGAAAATAACTGAGGAGATTGCTGAAACTACTAAAATTGGGTTAAGAACTGTTGAACACATAATTAAAATATTGAAGAACAGTGGTGAACCATCATCTTCGAGGAAGAAATGGGGTCAGGAAAAAAATGTTGAGTGATCGTGATTGGAGATCACTTAAATATTTGGTGAAATCAAATCATAAACAATCAACAGTACAACTCACTGCTATGTTTAATAGTGGAAGTAAGAGAATTTCCACATGCACAATGTGAAGAGAACTCAAGGGATTTGGACTAAACAGCTGTGTAGCCTTAAGAAAACCACTTATCAGTGAGGCTAATTGGAATGTTGGCTTCGATTTGTGAGGGAGCATGAAGATTGGATTCTGGCACAATAGAAAAAAGTTATTTGGTCCAATGACTCCAGATTTACCCTGTTCCAGAGTGATGGACGCATCAGGGTAAGAACCCATCAGTCAACCCATCATGCCTACTGCTTACTTTATGAAAAAATGTTAATGGGGTTGCACCATCAATAATATGTGCCCAAAATACAAGGTTAGCTGACAACCTGAATACACTGAATGACCAGGTTTTTCCATCATGGATTTTTCCTGATGCCTGGGCATATTCCAAGATGACAATGCCAGGATTCATGGGCTCAAATTGTGAAAGAGTAGTTCAGGGAGCATGAGACATCATTTCACACGTTTGGCCACCACTGAGTCCAGACCTTAACCCCACTGAGAATCTTTGGGATGTGCTTGTGAAAACTTTACGCAGTGGTCCATGTCTACAATCATCAATGCGAGATCTTTATGAAAAATAAATGCACCTCTGGACAGAAATAAATGTTGTGACATCGCATAAGCTTATTGAAACGATGCCATGGTGAATGCGTGACGTAATCAAAACTAAAGGCAGTCCAACGAAACATTAGAGTGTGTGACTTTTTTATTGGCCAGGCATTGTATTTGAGGACATGTTTTATAGCTCAATTAATAATATCTACCAAGGTTGGTGATGTTTGGGAAAACTGTCATTGCAGTATGGCCAAATCTGGGCCATTGCCATACAAGTGTTTGGCCCTGGCGATGCCCCCCATTGAGCGATTGCAAAATAGTTTTACAGTACTGTGAAAAAGTATTAGGCCCTTCCCAATTCCTTCAATTTTGGCTTATTTGTCTTATTTAAATGTTCCAAGAAAATGTGAGTGAACACAACCTGCAGCTTTTAAACAACCATTAATTTATCTAAGGTAAAAAGTTACTCAAAACCAAATGCACCCATTAGAAAAACTAATAGCCCCCCTAAACCTAATAACTGGTTGTGCCACCCGCAGCAACAACTGCAATTAAACATTTCTGATAACTAGAAATGATCCATTTACATCGCTGTGGAAGATCTTTGGCCCACTTTCCACATAATCATTTTAATTTATCCATATTGGAGGGTTTTTGAGCATGAACTGCCTGTTTAAAGACAGGTCACAGCATCTCAATCAGATTCAAGTCAGCATGTTGACTAGGCCACTCCAACAGGGGTGTGACCAAGGAGTGGCCCAGGGTGGCAGGGGCCACCCCTGGAATCTGATTGGCCACCCCAGGTGCCACCCTATTATCCTAAACTATGATTAGCTATCTGCCCTGTCAGAGGCGGGACTGAGTTTGAGCTGTAAACCAAAATTTCCTTTATAGGTGAAATTCAGACTTACACCTGTGCAGCAATACAAAGCCAAAGTAGTGTCCTGCCAGCCAAAAACCCAGATAAGAAGTAAAAGTAGACAAATCAGTTTAGATTTTGAGGATTAATCAAATGAATGTCAATCAGTGAGAACTCTCCGGGGTTTCAGGGGTGCGCAGCCATGGGAGAAGTTTTGACCACGCTGATTGCCTGAAAAACAATGTTCCTCATTTGCATTCCAGGTAATCAGTTCCTGGAGAAGGCATGCACACTTCAGGGAGGAAAAATGATTAGATTATGTCATGGTGGCAGGACTGCAATACACTGCTATGCGCACGATCACTTTTTATGTTATGTTACTCTTTAGATCAGTGGTTCTCAAACTTGATCCTGGTGCCCCACTCTGTATGCTGTTTTTTTTCCACCACATTTGCAATCTTAGGATTTTAACTAGCTGTTTGTCTTAATTAGCTGCATTCCATGTTTAGAGCAGTTATTTAGCATCTTAAGCCACATTTGTTATGATTCTAATCTGTTCTGTCATGATTCTGCCATGTTTGTTATGATTCTGCCACTCCCTGTTATGTTTATGATTATGTCTGTTAGGTTTTGCCATGTTCGGTTTCGCTTTTTGTACTTTGCCATGTTTTCGTTTTTTCCATTCCCAATCCACTATTCTGTTAGATTCCGTCCATGTCTTTGTTCATGCCCTGCATTGCACTTTGTCTCCCCTGTCTGGTCTCTTGTTAAGTTACAGCTTCTCCCCAGTCCTCGTGTCACATGCTTAGGTGATTTCATGGTTTCTGGGTTTCAAACATTCCTTCCAATCTCACTTTGCTTCCCTTCACACACTCTTTTCTATATTACTAACCAATACTAACAGTTTGTTGTTTTTTTAAAGTTACTAACCCAAACTAACATTGTATATAATACTAACTTACTAACGAGCACTAGGGATTGTATAGCTGCACTTACTAATTGATTAACAAGCTTTCAGCACTCACCCTGTTCTAGTCTCCGCCTCTTGCCTGCACTTAGTCTTTGCTGCAATTCAGCAGATCCTCTGCACCTGCTCCACTCTGTCCTACCTCTCATTATCTGTGCACATTAGAACTCCCTAACCGAGCTGTATGTTTTGTCATAGGTTGTCTCGTGTTCCCTGTCCGCGTTTTTGGCTTTTGCCAATTTCATGTGATTAGGTTCTCCTCATGTTCCCTCCTTTGTAATTAGTCTGATCCTCATCACCTGATCCTAATCATAGCATGTGACTTCCTTGAGTGTATTTAAGCTGTCTGCTCACTGCAGTTCCCCACAGAACGTTTCCTCTTGTTTACCTGTGCTGCTATCATTTGCCTTGTACTCATAGTGTTAATCTTCTGACTGGACCGCCCGACTTACGATTTTTGGCTCTGCTCTTTTGTACTTTTGTCTGCATCTATTTTTGAACCCTTTTTGCCCGACTACGAGTTTTTGTGTTTGCTGCCCTGGTAACGGTTTGGATTTCGCCCTCTGGATTTTGGCCTTTGCTTCTCTGACAAGCCTGTGTACCGAACCTGTTTTTGCCCGACCACGATTACTGTGATTGCTGCCCTGGTTTTTCGACTTTTGGATTTTGTCCCTGGGATTGTGTTCTTTGGATTGTGGACTTTGTACTGTCGCCTCCTGCTCTGCGGGGGTTCGCCCCTTTCCAATAAAATCCCATTTTACCTTCACTGCTCGACTCTCGCGTCTGGTTCCAGAACCGTACCTAACAACATTTTGATGGACATATCCATTGTGCCATGAAGAATAAAAACCCTTGAACATGTTGTGCTTATTTTTCTATTTTGTGAGGATTTTCATGTAAAAATATTTTAAACTGAGAGAAAATCAGTAAGCTCCAAATTAGATTGTTGAACACAAGTGTTTTGAGTTCTAATTTGCCCGAACATATAAAACACGAAACAAAACAGGTGTTACAATATTGTTTGCCAAATTGTTAGTTTTTGCAACCAGTGTCGACAATTTCTCCAAAGAGGAACCTATTGTTTATGGTGATTCAATGATTGGTTAAATTGTTTCCCTCTGTAGTTATTTACACTATTTTCTAATATCAATGTGGATTTGAAATTTTTATTCTTAATGGCATGTATCGATAGTCACGTGTGGCTTAAGAGGATCAATAATTGCTCTAAACATAAATGCACCTAGTTAAGACAAATCAACAGCTTGTTAAAACCCTAAGATTGCGGTTGGAACAAAAACCAGCATATACAGTGGTGCGCCAGGACTGAGTTTGAGAACCTCTGCTTTAGATTATATGGCTGGCCAGCTCACGTTTAAGGAAAATCTTTGTAAATTGTCATATTTCAGCGATATGATTTGGTTTTGTCCTAACTTTACTAACTGAGCTACCTGTAATAGGAAAGAACTTCTGATATGTTTTGTGGCCCTTTTGTGCGTTTGAACCATACTTTCAGATTTTTTGGGATATTGGCTCGCTTACCAGCGAGCTAGCTCAAGGGCAATCACTGTTACAACTAGCTGGTGAAGTTAGGGCAAAAACCAAATGACATCACTGAAATATTATGATTACTTGCAAATATTTTCCTTAAATAGAGTTAGCTAGCTAACAAGATGGCCATATAATCTGAAGATAAACATACAATGCGATCGCATACACAGCGCTGTAGCGCAGCTGAAATCAGCTATGCAATAATATTGTCTCAGCCCAAACTGCCTGCTTGCTCTTCACTTGTCAGAAGCCATTAACCAAGGTTGAAGGAGGTTGTGTGGGTGTGATTGCGACACTTTAACATCTTTGGGTGTGATCGCGTTGACAGTGGCCAATTAAAGTAATCAAAACTTCTCCCATAGCTTTAGATAAGATAAGATACACTTTATTGAACCCCGTGGGGTAATTTGTCCTCTGCATTTGACCCATCCTATAGTTAGAAGCAGTGGGCAGCCACAGAGCAACACCCGGGGACCAACTCCAGGTCTAAAGCCAGTTCCTTGGTCAGGGGTACTGGTGGGAATGCATGTTTTTGTGGGTGGGGGAAACCAGAGTACCCAGAGAAAACCCATGCGAACACGGGGAGAACATGCAAACTCCACACAGAAAGGCCCCAGGCTGGAATCGAACCCACGACCTTCTTGCTGTGAGGCGACAGTGCTAACCACTATACCGCTATGCCACCATGGCGTGCTTTGTGGTTTGGGAATCACAAGTTCACTCCCAGGCTATAGGTCCTCTTGACTTGTTCCTGATAGATGTGAGTACACTTTTTGTGAGCCATCACAAGAACAGGTGAATTAGTTTTAAATGTATCCTGGGATGTGTATTCAAGAGGCAGCTGGTATATTTTTAAACAGAATACATGTGCAGATACAGATGGAAGTTTAATAGTGCTTGTATCTGCTTGTGGCTCAAAATTTTTGATTATGGTGGTACAAACACACACTATGTGGCCTTTGTTAAAGAATTGTTGTTTTCCATTAACTGTACTCAGTACTGTGTTTTATAAGCTGGTGAAACGATTTATTTTTGATTTTATTTTATTTTTTTCATAACCGCACTGTCTGAGGTAATGTTTAGACTGCCCACTGCCTCAAACCTGAATGTTAAGTGCCTGTAGTGTTATTTAACAGGTCTTGTTGCAGTTTTGCTGGTTTTTTGGGAGAGATGTGAGGAGGGCGCAAGTCTTTTGTTTTTTTTTTTTTTAATTCAGCTAGTGTTGGTTCAGGGTCTCTTTGTTTTGCCTGCACTGGCTTATTTATTTTAATTTTGTCTGCATTTTATATTATATTTAAATGCATTGTTCTCTTTTGTATGCCAACATTTGGAGGCACACTTTATTCAAATAAAAAAGCATGGAAGCTTTATATCGCATTTGAATTGTGCCACTCTCTTGTGTTGTGATTTGTTGGTCTATTTATCTTTCAAATTACATTACTTTAAACACAGGAATGTAAGGTACTCAAGTCTTGGTGATTAAAGTAGATATGGGTTGTGGAGATAAAAATGGTAAATTAATGCTTTTCTGATGTGTGTGTGTGTGTGTGTGTGTGTGTGTGTTTGAAGTTCATGCCACCCCTACTGAAGTCAGTGCCCCACTTGGGCAACCCTAGTCAAAAAAGACTGGACACACCACTGCACTCCAAAACCTTCATTTTGTTTCTTTTAAGCCATTAAGCGGTGGACTTGCTTGTGCATTTTGGATCATTGTCCTTTTCAAAACCCAATTATGCTTGAGCTTTAGGTCACAAACTGATGGCGGGACATATTCCTCTGGATTTTCTGGTAGAGAGCAGAGTTCATGGTTCAATTAATTATGGCAAGTTGCCCAGGTTCTGAAGCTGCAAAGCAGCCCCAGATAATCACAATACCAGCATTGTATGCAAATAGAAGAAACTTGGAATAAGGTAAATACTTTACATGGCACTGTATGTTAAGAGGACATGGACAGGTCATGGATATTACAGCAATACTCAAATTACGTTGTACAACAGAACCATCAAACTTGTTTGTCATTAAACGTGAGATGTAACTCCCTGAGAACTGTTTAGAACACTACGCACGTGCCTATGTGATTTGTGATGGTCCAAGTTTAGCCCGTCGATAACTCCACAAGCGTTGCATTCATACCAACAAAAACAACCATTATCTCACAATGGGGCATCCCAGTGGCACGTCGATTTACGCGGCGACCCAGGTTTGATTCCGGCTTGGGTCATTTAATGCATGTCTTCCCCATTCTTCTCCCCCATTTTCCTGTCAATCTCAACTGTATAACTATCAAAAAAAGGAGAAAAACCCCCCAAAAAATCTAAAAAAAAAAAAACAATTATCTCACAAAAAGTGATTGCCAAAAATTGTTTATTTCTCCCATGGAATTCACTGAACTTAAGTAACAATGTTGATAACAGACTTTAGAGGGAGGTCTCTTCACTTAAAAAGTTAACAAAAGATACAATGGTGTGATATGACATACAGCATCAAATGCTACTCAAATCAGCCCTTATAACCCTGATTTTAATAAGTAACCACAGGCACTCCTAAAACCAGGTATGGGAAAAAAACATCATGATTTGACATCCCCGTAAACTCAAAACCCAGGTGTTTAGAAGGCCAAGCTAAAATTTTCTGAAACCCTCTGCTTAGAACAAGCCCATACTTTCACACTAATAGAAGCCCAGTCCTTTTGAAAATCTACTGAAATGTCCCATCCTGGACATGCAGAACTGACTGGTGTGCCTCAGTCCAATCAACTTGGACCTGGACATTGCTTACAACTGCATAGCACTGGAGGAGTGAAATCATTTTCCCTGTTTTGGCTAGGGGTTCTTATTATAGCGAAGTCATCACAAAATGAAACGGCATCCCATAATATGTGTCTTATTCTCCTGAAGGTAGATAAAACAAGTTTTCCATTTGAATGTCTAATCCATTTCCCCACAGTGGCCACTTTCACAAATGGCCTCATTTTTGCAGAATGCAAGGTCGCTTCAAACTCCCCATCAATCCAGGAGAACTCTGGAGCACCAAAGGAAAGGGGACACAGATTGTTGCTGGGATGGAAGGCTGATGGTAGTCCCAGGGCTTGAACCATCAGAAGCGGTTGGGGTAAAACCGTAGACCCTCCACGGAATCGTCCCTACAGAGATGGCCCATCTTTTCAGCCAGCAGCAACCTCAAGAGAAAGGAAAAATTAGGGTTAATAAAACTGAGATGGCAGTGCTACATGCAGAGCAAAGCACTTGAGTCATGACCAAAACATTTCTAACACAACGAGCAGAGAAAATAATTTCCGCTTTCACAGGTTTGACTATTTTTGCGTATTAGTCACAATAAATGGTTTTATATCACCAAGCAAAAAGCAATAGTAGATCGAGAACATGAGGAAACACAAATAGTTTTTTTTTTAAAGATCATTTAATTTATTGAAAGGAAAAAGGTTATCAAGCACCAATGTTGCCCATGCAAAAAAGTAATTTACCTCCTTAACCAAATGTTGTTGTGCTAACAACTGCGGCAAAACATTTGTGCAAATTGGCAACCAGTCTTTAACATCACTGAGAAGGAATTTTGGCCTGCTCATCTTTAAAGACTTGCTTTAATTCAACCAGGCTGGAGGGTTTTCATGTATGATCTTCCCATTTAACAGTAGGGGTCGGCCGATTATAGCCCTTTTCAATATAATCATCATCGGCCGGAGTTTTGGTGATTAAAACGCTGATATATTCTTAATTTCTCATAAAACAGTTTACACAAATGAGAAGAACTCTAGGACTGAAAGGCAGATGTGACAAGATAGAGTTCATAATTCATCTATATATACTGAACAACAAAAGAAACGCAAGTTTATATAAGGCAGACTGGAAAATAAGTTTGCGCGTAATTATTTTAGACAATCAAATTTATTACTAGCGCGTGCACATTTACACTCATTTCATCAAACTTTTCTTTATTTTAAGGTCACTTTGACTGAGTAACCATAAGAGTACATGAACTAACTAGCTAACTTGCGTTTCTTTTGTTGCTCAGTATATTTACATTTTAAATAAGGTTATTATATGATTTTGCAGAAATTTACTCCAGTTTTGCACATTATTTTGTACTTGAAAGTTCTTTGTTCTTGAAAGTTGTAGAGTAGAAAAATAAAGGAGGCTTTTGAAAAGAATTTTACCTTAGTGTTTTTGTTGCTTTCCTCTCACAATTACCTGTTTACAACTTTTTTTAAAAGTTGTTCTACCTGTACTTAGCCTGACTGCGCCAGCCTTCGTACTTTCGCTTAATTTCATTTCGCCTCAGTACTCAGTCTAGTCACTCAGAGCTCTGCCTCGTTTACCACGGCAGAAAATACGCCGTACCAACCAACAAACAGAGGGCGTGAACGAGAGCCATAACGTTGCCGCTGCGCCTAGTTTGAAATTGTAGTCTCCGAAATCAACAATGGCCACGGACATAGATACACGGGAGGCCATTCACTCTGTTGTGGAGAAAATCCCCGGTATCAGCGACTTATAGCCACATCAAGATGAATGTTTGGTTAGTTTTTTTTGAATGGAAATGATGTTGTAGCGCTACTACCTACAGGTTTTGAGAAAAGTTGTCATATCTACTTAATATCCATCATGAAACATATGAAATAGCCACCCTGTTCATCTCTGTGAGACAGCTGAACCACCTCAGCTAGCTTGTAGCTTCTAGTGTTATATTGCTCGCGAATTTCGCACTATTTAAATTAGCAGCAAACTTTTTAAAAGCCGTGTTTTTGTTCATGTCACAAGACCTATTCGCTGTCTCAGTGTTATGTTGTCATTATCCATGAATGAAATGGCTGTCTGAGACAGCCAAACGCTTAGAGCCAAACTATGTCACTTATGAAGTTAGATAGCGAGTTGGGTATAATGTTAGCACAAGTATGATTAACGGTTCAGTCTTCGTGTCAACGCAGATTTCGTCCTAATGTAAATAATGCGTTATTTTTGCCAATTCTGCTGTTGGTTTTGGGTCTCTTATGTTTTTTTTTTTTTTTTTTAATAACAGCAGTATCGGCAGGAAAAATGATAGCTCAACAGTTTGTTTCTTGTAAGGAGAACAGAGAGAGCACCTTTGGTTCTTTTAAGTGAATGAGTGAAGGCTAAAATTTGTTAGATGGGCATATGTATGGGTACAGTATTAACTTAATGTACTGATCAGTTTGTTTTCGCTGCATTCCTGGTATGAAGGACTGTGTTTCCAGCGGAAGTACTAGGCGGCCGAGCTGGCGCATAACATACGTCATCGCCAAACGTTAGTGATTTGTTTACGGGTACACCAATGATTTTAAACTTCTGACAAGCGCCCACCCACCAGGAAGTAAACATTTGTCAATGATGAGTGTCCAGACTCTGTGTACGAAGCGAAGCGAAGTAGCAGAGTCTGGTTTTACCAGGCTAACCTGTACTATAACCTACCTCTAATTTGCAGCAACAAGAAGTACAATAGAATTTCAATAGGCCAGCCACTCCTGGGAGTTTCATCACTGGGAGACTGAGAGAGTTTCTAAATTCAGAGACTACGGCACTTGCAGTAGTTTACAGGAGTTCCAGAGCCGTATAAAGGGTTTTGCAACACTTTCCAGTCCTATATATTCAATACATGACTCATCTGTCAGGAATTTCTTTCTATTGCAGCATAGGGTGTTTCTTGTTGAGACC